TCGCGGCAGGGAAGCTCACGCCGGCAGGTGTCCGTGGGCTTGTGAGGTGCCCGCGCCGCGCGGGTCTGGACTCCACCCTCCCCGAGGCGCAGTACTTATTACACGTGAACCGCTCCCCCGCTCACGTGCTCTCCCTGCACCACACACACGCCACACGCGCGCGCGCGCGCACGAGAAAAGCCGCCCCACCTCGACAGTGGCGTCGAGCAGGTTGCGCAGGCGCAGACCGGAGAGGCGGCGGCGGACGTGGCCCAGACAACGACCAGCACCACCCGCTTCCTGTTGCTGCCGCTCCGCAATCCTCCTCCGTCCCTTCCTTGGGCTGGGGCTTCCGTTCCCACACCTGGTCTCCGGTTCCCCAGCTCTCCTCTCCGGTCCACGGCCGCATGGCCTACATGTACGTGTAGTGCGACAGCCGTAAAGCGGCGCAGCGTCGTGCTTGGGTCTTTTCCCTGTATTATATTGGTTTCCTCTGATTTTCCTTTTCTACGGTCGTGAGATGGACGCACAATTATTTTATCATGTTTGTGTTTTAAATAAGTGCATTTAGGCTAAATTTAGCTGTATCCCACCTGTTACAATAGGTAGTACCTCCACTCTTTTCCAGAATAAGTATTTTGTGATTTCACCTTTAATCTCTGACTTGAATGGATTTTTAAGTTTCTAACCAAGTGGTATTTGTAAATTTATAAATATATTTTATTTATTATTTCAATCCAAGTTTTTAAACGGTTACTTTGCACAGAAACTATTACTTTGCCCAGGAACTACTTCTTGAAACACTGTAGAATAAAAAAGAAGTCGTAACTATAGATACGGTAAGGTAATACTGTGATGCAGGGGAGAGGGAAAAAAAAACTCTCCTCTACCTTTCCAGGTTCTCTACCAGGGCCCCTGTAATGAAAGATAAATTAACAAGAGAAAAGCATATAAATTGATTTAGTTTAAGTTTTGTTTGACGTGGGAGGCTCCATAAAGAAATGAAGACTCAAAAAATCAGTAGAGTTACGGCTTATATAACTATTTGGACAGAGAGTGGTAATTGTGAAAACGTGGGAAGACAAAGGAACTTGGCCTAGGGCAGATAAGCATGGAAAAGTGACTAGGAAGATAAGGGCTAGTTTAACAAGGTTTGTTTGTACAGATTTTTCGCGGCCTCCACTTCCCATTGTGTGGAGACACAATCCCACTTCACCCAGAGGGGCTGCTCTCCCTCCCCTACCAAAAATATCTTTCTTCCCCAGGTGCAGGGAGAGCACCTTTTACTTGGAAGTTTTCTCTCTGGCTTTTAGGACAGAGTGCCCTTTCTCCATCTGCTGGGTTTTTTTAAAAGTGATTTTAACTTAAAATCATCAACATGCCAGAATGGCATATTTTGGGGTGGCAAGTTTTGAACTTTCAGTGACAATGTTAGGGGATAGTGAGACCCCCTAAATTAGGAGGCCAACCAAAGTGTGGTGTGGGTCCTTGCCTGCCAGCTGGAAAGAATTCACAGCTGAGGCAGAGGGACAGAACGAAAACTGCTTTTATTTCTCAAAAGAGGAAAAGGAAGGAAAGTGCTCAAGCAGGGAAAGGAAGCGCTTGAGCAGGGAGCTGCCATCCAAGATGGCCGGTGGAGACAGCTCCAGCTTGGGTCAGGTCACAGACTTTTATGACAGTCTTCGGCATAATGTCCTCTTTCCAGCTGTGGTGGAACCAGTGAGTCCTTGTACGGACTTTTCGGTACTTGTATGGGCTTTTCCGGTTGTTGTCATGGCAATTGTCAACTGTCATGGTGCTGGTGGTGTGTCACTTAGCATGCTAATGAATTATAATGAGCGTATAATGAGGCTCAAGGCCCACTGGAAGTCATATCCTCCATCATCTTGGACTCTATTGGTTCTTCTGATTGCAGTTGCCTCCTGAGACTTAGATAAGAGCAATTGATTTCTACTCAGAGGAGGGGCAGGGGTATGATCCTGGGCAACAGCCTTGGTAATAAAAAGGAAAGTTGCTTTTAACCAGCATGCCCGCAATCTGGTGGGCACAGCACCCCCCCCCAATCTCCAAAGATTCTTTTCAGCCATGAAAGTTTTAAAGAGAAAGGGAGAAGTAATCTCAGTTAATCACTGAGATAGGTTGTCAGAGTCATTGCCAACTCCAATGCCCGCAGGCTTGTCCTAATGAACTGCTTGAGCCTGCTCTTCTATGACTCTGGGAGGCCTGGGATACTTCATTCAGCTCTTCTATAAACAAGAGGCAGGATTCTGGGTGGGGGGAGGTGTTCACAGGGTCCTGCTCAGTATCAGCAATGCATTAGAAATTGTAGATTAAATGGACAATTTCTTAGAAAGCTATCAAAATTGACTCAAGAAGTTATAGAAAAATCTAAATAAACATACAACTGTTAAGGAAATGAAGTCATGGTTGAACATCTTTTCTTCAGACGGAAATCAGGCCTAGATGGTTTTAGAGGTTTTACCAAACATGAGGAACAGACAATCCTTGTCTTACACAAACTTTCTCGAATAACAGAAAAACAGAGAAAGCTACCCAATGCATTATGGGGAGCACAGGAGAATACTGTGTGCACGTGGCCTTACGAATTTGCATGAACACATTTCAGTGTGGGGTTAGATTTCCTTTCGGATTTGTGTTGCCATCTCCTCCTTATAGCTGGACAACATCAGTTCCTCCTAACTTGACTTTCTGCCCCCATCGCTCTCCATTTGTTTATCACTGCAAAACAGGTTTTCCTAAAACCCTTCCTCATTCACAAATCTTAAATGGACTCCATTTCATAAAAGATAAACCTCCTTAGACAGACATTCAAGGCCTCAGAGGTGTGACCTCGGTCTATCTTTTGAACCATATCTCCCATCACTCACCTTCCCAGCCATTCAGTTCAGACACAATGGTCTGTTCCTCTCCATACCCTAAACGTGCCCTGGGCTTTCCTGTCTCAGAACTCTAGACCATGCACTTCCTTCAGCCCGGACAAGTCTTCTCAGGTTTTCTCCACCCATCCAAGTCCTCCAAGATTGAGTCAAGTCCTTCCCCGGTGGGTAAATGTCAAACCTGCTCCAGGGGCCCACGTGGTTGCTCTCTTCTGAGCTCGTGGGACACCCTGTCAACCTCACTTCTTCTTTAATCAGGTCCCATCTGCAACCCCACCAAGGTCGTTGTCTGGAGCTATTTTTCATCTCTTCATATATTTTATGTCTTTGCACTTAGTTTTATCTTCCCCAAATAACAGTGTGAGTTCTGGAAGGTAGAGACGTGTCCCGTCCCTGGGTCTGCATACATAGGGCCCCCCGGTGAGTGTTAGCCCCTTGCTCAAGTGGACTGACATTCTGTTTCTCTGGAGTCTTTGAGACGGGCGCCAGCCCAGTGTTGTATAAGCTGTAAGATTTAACAATTCTTCCTTTTCTTCTTTTAGCCATACTCCCCATTGCCTCCAGCTGCTGCACCGAGGTTTCACATCATATTTCCAGAAGGCTTCTGGAAAGAGTGAATGTGTGTCGCATTCAGAGAGCTGACGGGGATTGTGACTTGGCTGCTGTCATGTGAGTTTGCTGCCGCAGGAGGCCTAAACCTGCACAGACACCACTTCTCCACCAATGGACAAAAGGTCTAGGTCAGGGAGGCTTTGCCTGTTACACAACAAAGACTCACTTAAACCTGGGAGGGGAGAACGGAGTGAAGGTCCTGGGGCGTCCAGAGCCCCAGGGTAGCCCTCTGCTCCCCGCCCTGCGGTGCTGCACTGAGGGCTACATGCTTTCAGTCATCGGACTATGTGCACGACCTTCCTAAGCAAAACGAGGGACATTCTGAGTGAGAACAAAAGCAAAAACAGAAGTCGACTCTGTTCTACTTCATGGCTTTTGCTAACTTTTTTTCAGCAAGTAAATGGATTGCTGTCATTTTTACTATCTGAATTCGTCAAGTGTGCACGTAAGATTCAAACAGATGTGTAGAGACGTCCGTACCTGTCACAGGTGGTCCATGCAGTCAAGTTCCGATGCCCTCCTTTGCTTCTGATTCTGAGCCACTGGCCCATGGTGAACCCTCTCACCCCTCCTATCCCCACCCCTGACCCAGTTATTCAGAACTTTGGACTTAGATGTACTTAATGTCTCCCCAGAGTTTAAATTCTGAAAGGCATTGGTATGTAGTAAATCTGGATTCTGACAGTAATGCTGTGAGGAAGGCACACATTATCTCCATGTCACACAGGAGAACGCTGTCACTGGGGAGACTACATAGTTCACTTGGTGGCAAACAGCGAGTGAATGGCACAAATGGGGTGTGAAGTTAGGTATCTTCGTTCAGAACATGGTATATTTCCAAAGGCTTTCAAAAGTGATGGTGGGGGAAAAAAAGAAAAGTGATGGTGGAACTACACATAGCATGCTCTCCCCAAACTCCCACACTGGGCATCTCCCAGGAGTGCTGGTTTCAGCAGGACTCCAAGGCTGACACTGATGAGCCCTTTGGGCTACATATAAGCCCATTGCTTATGCCTGAGTTGCTGAGTCACTGGGGAACCTCTTTATTTATTAAATGAATTCCACAAATATTTTACTGATTAGCTATGATGTACCAAGCACCATTCTATATGCAAGAGATGCAGCAATAACAAAATAGAGTCTGTCCTCCTGGAATCTCCGGGAGACTCTATCCAACTGGGTCACACAGACTAGTCTCTGAGATTTAAGGTTCCCCCCACCCTTTCAAAGGAATCCATCCGTTACTCATCTTTGAGAAACACTGCTCCAAGACAGGGTTCTTAGAAGTGCAGAGGAAGCGTTTGGAAGATGTCCACTGACAGACTTCCTTCAGGTCTGGGGACCATGAACTCCCTGAAGTTTGTGGATATGAATGTGGGAGCATTTTTCCAGGGAGAAGATCGTTGGTTTTATAACCTCCTCAAAAGGATCTTAGATCCAACAAAGTTTAAGCATCACAATGTGCAGAGAAAGACAATTCCTGGCCCAGACTTTTTATTTTTTATTTTTTGGGGGGAGGGGGAGTTTATTAGGTCTATTGATTTACTTTTTACAAGTCTTTTTAAAGGATGTACTGGGGATTGAACCCAGGACTTGGGCTAAGCAAGTGCTCTACCATTTGAGCTCTACCCTCCCCTCCCCAACTTTGAATAAGCATGAGTGTCTATGTGGGAGAAGAGAGAGGATGGAAAACCCTCTCAACATCTCCTCAAATCATATACCTTCTGAGGGGTGCTTCAAGTTCTCCGCTTCTTTGAAAAACTCCCTTACTATATGCCTGGCCAAGAGTCTACCAGTTTTTATTTAATTTTAATAAACAGTGCTGGTAATTGTTGGAGAGTGAAAATTCATAGGCAGTTCATAGCCAGTACTCTGGAGAATTGGAGATTCTGGATACTGGTGTGAAGTCTACCTGCCTGAGGCTGCTCTGGCTACTCTCAGAAACACCAAATTCTCTGCTTTCAGTTCCTTCCACCTCATGGCCGTATGTCACCTTCAGAACTTGGAAGGGCTCCCAGGGGACTCCCAGAAAGCCATGGGGAAAGAACCAGAGAAAGTTTCCATGTGTGTATAAGAGTAAGAGACAGATGCAGGTGATCATCAGGAGATACCACTGGTAACAGGATTTTCAGAGAAGTTTTCTTTGGAATAAGCAGGTATGAGATAGAGATCTAAAAGGTATAGGAACAGAAATGATCTAAGTCCTCACTTCGATAAGGGAAAATATGATCAAAAACATGAAGCTTCATTTTAAAGAAGACTCAATTTTAGTAAAAGGAAAATTATAAAGCCAATCACTTGGATCTAAAAAATACTTTATTCAAGTACTGATTTGTAAATTGACCTCTCTGTAGAGAAAAGGCAGCAGAAAAATATTGAGTAGTTATGACTTGGTCTGAGATAAGATGCAATTTGACTATGCAGTATTTTGCAATCATAAATTACAGATCATCTCTGTTGTGTTTCCTGACATTTGACATAAATAGATAAACGTTCTCTTGTTTTCAAATTGTTTTACTACAGAACGTCTCTCTCCTTATCCAAAATGTAGTCTCTTAATTTTGAATGTGTATAAAGACTTTAAGGTTGGAGACAGGTGTTTTAGAAGCAGAAAACATAGCAAGTATTGGAAATATAATTCCCAAAGAGCATGTATTATTAACCACAATTAACTAATATAAATTAACTTACAGTGAACTCACTAGATTTAATTCCTTCTCCTTTTCTGCCTAGAAATAGGCCCCTTGTTTCACACGCTATAAATGATCACTGTAATTTTTGACGTCTGAGATAGCAGTTTGCTTATTTAAAATTCCACTACAGTGATTTCATTAAAGAGCTTCTAGCTGTTTCTAAACATAAACACAATGCAAAGTTGTTTATCTTGGTCAGAGGGCAGAGGTTTCTTGAATCATAGAGACATTACCTGTTGGAAAGAAAATTTTTGGTTATTGAATAATGTAATTTGAGAGGTTTCCATATTTTTTCAAAAGTGGTTGTTGAAGGACTGTTGTACTTACAGAAATGGGTGAAGAAATAAAGTTCAGGGAACAATTATAGGTATAATTTCTATGGCAGGTCCATCCCTTTAAATCTGTTGGACTGTTTCTAACAACTCTCTTGTGGGGGAAAAAAAATCAGGGGAACATCCTTATGGTTTCTTAGAGTCAAAACTCTCCACCTAGAAATCCACAGTGGGGTGGGGTCAGTGTCCATCAGAATACTGTGGAGTTGGGGAGAGGGGAGGGAGTGTGAAATAGGCTATCTCCTTGCCCACATTACTTCTCTTTTTATCCTGATGGATACACATGGGATACAAGTCGGGGTATCAGCCATCTTTAAACTTCAGGGGTTTACAACATCAGAACATCTTGGATTTGGGATGTGTGTTCTGGCAGCTAATTTTCCCCTCCTTGTATTACATTGAGAGGTTGAGGCCCCAGTGGGTAGGCCTTTGAAAAGGGTCCCACTTGTCAGGCGTTGCCTGTTCTCCTGTGGCTTTCCTCCTCCCTGGATCCTGTCTGTGTTCCCCCATCCAGTTCTCTCCTGCAGCCCCAGCGCCAGTGCCCCTCCCTGAGGCTCCTCACTCCCCATGGAATAACGGCATCGAGTCCTAGTTCTCTCAGGGCAACCGACGGGCTTATCTGGTGTGTGTCGGCAGAGACTGTCCACTGGATATCTGCTCAGCTGCTCGCTGACACCACGGGGAGAGGGGGGTTCAGCCCTTCGGGAAGGATAGGAGCTTCAGCTCTTTCTTGTTTATTGTTTTCTCTTCCACGTTAGTGCTGCAGCCAAGTTTTCTCCTGTAACAGCTGAAGGCAAACCAACTGGCCTCCGTGAGAAGGAGCTCTGCTCTTGAAGACCTCTCAGTCGGATACACTTGGAGAATGTGTTGTTCTCCTATTAAGATGCCTCACTTCTTTCAAATGAATAATCCCACACTCTGGGCTTTTTATGCTCAAGCGCATTCAAGCCTTTCCCAACGTTCCTCCCTTTTTCATAAGTCCCCACATTAGCTGATGATTCCTCTCCCATCTGGGGAAATGGCAGCCTACTTTCTAGTCCCATTTTTACCCCCACAGAAAAGAGTCAGGCATTTTAATTTACTCAGACATAGAAATATTGTATAGTTAGAGCCAGCGGGATTTTCAACATTTACTAAGAGTTGGATGGTGTCTGATGGGGAATTAAAAGTCACAGTATCTTTTGTAACAAGAATTCTTCTACGTACCAGAAATTGTGACGGTGCTGTAGAATTCTCCCACCCCTATATCAAAACTTCATACAGAAAAATGATAACAAAAACACATTCTGAGACGTGGTGTAGATCTATATTCTATTTAAATGTTAACAGATGCCTAGAACATTTTGATTGTTTTGTTGAAATAAAACCAGACTGTTCTTATTTTGAAAAATTTGACTTCATGTCTACAACTAATCACTGAATTCCTGCTGTGAACAAGGCCTTTTCAAGACACTTCCAGATTATTCCTCCTTCAAGGAGCATAACACCACAGAGAAAGGAGGGTCTGAGACAGGCACTCAAATAAAAGATGGAGTAAACTAAGTGCCAGAAGAGACGTAACCGGTGCCATGAGATTCAAAGGAAAAAGGGGCATTTAGTTGTGAGGATCTGGAAAAATCTTATGGAGGCAAATGTGTTTGAGATGGGCAGTTAGGAAGAAACTGGTTTTGCTGGGTGAAGTTTGGAGTCAGGAAAGAGAATTGGGTTTACTTAGTTTTTTTCCTCTCCCTCCCTCCCCCTCCCCATCTCCTCTCCCTTCTCCAATTCCTTCTCCTTGTAATACTTTTAAAACTTTCTGCAGATGTCTGAGCAACCACAGGCAGAAGTGTAGTCAAGTCAAGATTCATCCTTGTGGTCCTCAGCTTTAGGATTCAGTCTCTAACATACACTGTGTCTAAAACGGGGAACTGCCTATAAATTCACTACGTTTTTTATCTACTTGTACTTTCTATCAGTGATTTTTTTCCCCCTTCTCTTCTTGACAGCCTTCATGTCAAGCACAGAAGAATCTGTGTCAGCCCGCACAATCATGTTATTAAGCAGTGGATGAAGGAACAAGCAGCTAAGAAAGATGCTAAAGGCAACGTTTGCCAGAAGAAACACCATGGCAGGAGGAACAGTAAAGGGGCACATCAGGGGAAGCGTGAAACACATGGCCACAAAACTCCTTATTAGAGAGGGTACAGATGAAGCTACACAGACGAGTCCTGAGTGAACTTGACCATAGTTCGTTAGAACTATATCACATGGATGTTCCTTACTGGAAGCCAACAGGGCAAAACAAAATATATTTTTAAGGGAACAATTATACAGATGCAAATGTAGCCAATAATGTATTCAACTGAAAAATGAAATGAAAAGAGAATACTTATCTTCATATAATATTTTAAGAGCAGCATACAGATCTAATTTCAAAAACTTTTTCATTATGATGTTTTCCAAACCTACAAAGAAGTTGAAAAGGTTCTATGAACACCTGTATTCCTTTCACCTAGATTAATCCTTGTTAATATTCTGCCACACTTGTTTTTTCTCTCTTCTTTGTACGTATGTATATAAAACATTATGTATAAAAATATGTAATTCTTTTGCTAAACCATTTGAATAGAAGTTACAAACATCATGACACTTTATTCCTAAATATTTTTTAGTGTACACTTGGCATCCCTCAAGAATAAAGACTGTGTCTAATTACGCTATCAGCTTTATACCTAAAAAAGTAACAATTCATCATATGTATACACAGTATATGTATTCACATTCCACATTCAAATTTCTCCAACTTTTTCCAGAGCATTAGATTTTTTTCAACCAAAGTTTACATATTGCAATTTAATTGTTGTATTTCTTTAGTACCATTCCATCTAAAAAAATCCCTGCTTTTTTTTCTTTTTTTTTCTTCCCATGGCATGAATTAAAAAAAAAAAAAGAGCCCAGGCAAGACTTGGTTCCACATTCTTGGTTTGTCTGTTTCCTCAGGATCATATTCGGATTTAACAGTTTTTGGTAAGAATGCTTCCTATGTGAATTCGTATATGATTGCATTATTTAGAGTTCATGAACAGTGGAGTTCATTTTCTTCATAGAAAACTTTTAGCTGAATATCACCTTAAAACGCATAGTTTGAGTAACTACTGTTGTTTGGATCGACAAATTCTGACACTAAAAAGGAATGCCTGCTTTCCTCTGGGAGCTGTCTGCCTCCCAGTTGGTTCTGGGGGCAGACTGGGAAGGGGTCCGGAGTTGGGTCTGGTGGGATGACTTTACGCTCTCCTAAATAAGGAGCCTATATCCTTTATCCTATATCCTAACCCACCTTTCCCCCACGTTGTGGGTCTGTCCCCACTGTTCTGCTCCTCTTTTGCCCTCCTTGTTCACAGAGGCTCCGAGATGTAGAGTAAGAGGTAATTTTCACAAACAGCCACCAGATGGCAGAAGCACAGCGTCCGCTCTGCCCGTGGTGTTGCCAGGATGACTTGAGTGTGATAATGGAGCACACGGAGGTGCTGAGCCTGATGTAGGTTAAAATATCACCAGACGGCCTTTGTCTAATACTCCTCACTGACACTCTTAGCATGTGATTTACTTATTCTTACCAACAATCCTGCGAGCTTTGTATTGATGTTTCCACTTTAAGGATCAGGAAACCAGAGGCTCATAGGGGTAAAATGACTTGCCCAAGTGCACACAGTAAGCGGCCAAGACAAGCCTTGTACCCAGGGTTCCACTTCCCGTTTTCCCATTAGCCCTAGCAGTGAATCCTGGAAGGTGTGGACCTGGAGGTGGGGCGGAGGGAGGGGAATTCAGGTAAAGATCTGTGCATCTGGTGCTTCAACAAAGGGCCAGGGGATGGGCTGACAGTTTTACTTGGGTGCAGAATTAAGACATGTTGCTACTGGCATTGTTAGAGCTGATACCGGCAATAACCATCTTCACAGATTAAAATAGGTCCCAACCTGACTTTACTGAGTTTTGTACTCTTAGGTAGTGGAGGGAATCACACACTATTTATAGCCTTTGTTTTGCAAAATCTTCCTCACTGGGTTCTTCTTTTCAACATAAAGACAGATTTTTGTCAAAAAATACAGCATTCTTCCACTCAACCGCATCATGCTTTTTAATATGAAAATATAATAAAATAGGTAATCTTGAGAAAAAAAATGAGTCCTTAATGTCTCAGTCCCTTCTGGCTGCTATAACAAAACACCGGGGACTAGGTGGCTTGAAAACATTTATTTCTCACAGTTCTGGAGGCTGGGAAGTCCAGGAGCACAGTTTTGGCAGATTTGGTGTCTTGTGAGGGCTCTCTTCAGGGTTGGAGACTAAGGACTTCTCTCTGTGTCCCCACGTGGTGGAAAGGACCAGGGAGCTCTCCTGAACCTCTTTTACAAAACACTAATCCCATTCATGAGGGTTCCACCCTTATGACAAAAGCACCTCCCAGATCATCATTCTAAGCGAAGTAAGCCAGAAAGAGAAAGAAAAATGCCATATGATATCGCTTATATGTGGAATCTAAAAAAAGGGACACAAATGAACTTATCTACAAAACAAACAGACTCAGACATAGAGAACAAACTTATGGTTCCCTGGCGGGTAAAGGTGGTGCTGACGCAGGAAAACGGGTGTGGGGCATGAGGAGGGCTGTGTCCCAGGTCTTGGTTCCAGTGGGGGTCTTGGTCAGGGATTACATCCCCCCAAGTAAGGTAGATTATGTGTCTCTGGTTGCGAGTAGCCAGTTTATCAGCATATGCCCTGGCTGTAGCGAGGATCTGGCTTTTTTCCTCGAAAGTGCAGCAGGTTGAAAGGAGGACCTGTAGGTCCCTCCAGGTAAGCTCATAGACCATTGGTAGCCTGGCAGATTCTTCCATGAACCTACTGGGGTCCTTGGAGAAACGTCCAGATTTCTCCTTGCAAGTAGCTAAATCAGCCATAGAAAAGGGGACGTGAACTCTGATTGTTTCCCCATCACCGGCTGGCACTTCCCTTAAGGGGCAGACTTTGGTAGTAGGAGGTTGGTAGGTGGCCCCACTTCAAGCAGTACTGGCAGGACTTTCCTCTGGTGAGGGAGATGCTGGGGAAGACTGTGCCGCCTCGGAGTTGGGGGTAGTAGGAAATTCCGGCTGTAGACCTTGGGCAGCTGGACTCATAAAGGGGTCATCTAGAATATCGAGCTCCTGTGGGAGGAGATGCTTAGACAGGATGTGGGCCAGGAACATCTGGCAGGAGTTCCTTAGACTTAGGTTTTGGTATAGGGTCAGGAACATTTGGACATATGGGATTTCCCCCCATTTATGGCCTCTTTTACAAAATAGGCCTAGCTGCAAGATGGTATTGTAATTTAGTGATCTGCTCATTGGCCAGACCTCTTTGTCCCCTAGTTTGTATTGTGGCCATGCAGTATTACAAAGAAAAATTAATTAATTTTTTTTCCAACTATTCTTTTTAAACCTTTTCCAGTTTACTAATATGCATCCTAAAGGGGAGTCTTTTGGGATACTTGTAGTTGTCCCCATTTTGTTTAGGATGTCCTATCCGTGAGCCTGAGGTGGCTCCTTTAGACTAGTTAAGGAAAGGAGCAAGGGCCAGAGGAAGAAAAGATGACTAGAGTCCCAGGGTCTAAATCCTTTAGAAGGAAGGAGACCTAGGTCCTGAATCAACTAAGCAAATTACGTTTTGTTTAAGAGAAACAAATAGTGTCGAAAGGTGGAAATCTAGAACGAAAAGGGAATGCTGTAGCCACAATGCCTCTTAGACCAGAGATCCATAGGCCCACTAAGGGAGTGTCCGCCTGCGACTCCCACTCAGGGGCACTGTAACCTGTGACCCCACTAAGGGACGCGAAAACCTGTGACTTGTGGAGAGCACTCTCCGGCAACTCTCATTCAGGGGTGCTTGAACCCACGACCCCACCGAGGGCTGTGAAAACCTGCGACCCCACTGAGGGGTGCGAAAACCCGCGAACCCGTGAACAGAGCACTCGCTGGTAACTCTCAAAACCCGCTATCAGCAATGGGAGTGCCCGACCGCGACTCCCGCCTACGTATGCAATGAGGCCGTATGCCCCGAGGTCACTCAGGGAGGGCCAGGCTACAAATTTTTAAAGTGGAACTCCCGCAGTCCCCCAGTTTGGGCTCCCTTTCGCAGTTCTGGCGTCTCAGAACCAGACCAGCACTGTGTAGAGAGGTGGAATTAGGCTCAAAGAGCCTTGGAGGGGAAGCTCACCCAATCAGGTTGCCAATTACTTGCCATGTGGGTCTTAATCTGGATGTCTGAATGGTCGCCTTGGTGGATCTTCTCAAGTCCAAAGAGACAGAGCGATAGAGGAGAGAATGAGAAAAAAATCGAGGGGAGAAAAGCCTTGGGCTTGGTGGGCTCCTTCACGGCTAGAGAGCTGGTCTCTGCCAGATCCTGCAGGCAGCGTCAGCCGCCACCCAAGGGCTACTTGAATCTGCACCGCGCCGGTAGCCCAATAGGAGGATCGAGATTATGCCCTTTGAGCCGTTTCTTTACGTAAATGCCCCACTTTGGGCGCCAGAGATATGATGCAGGTAAACAGATGTGGGGTGTGAGGAGGGCCGTGTCCCAGGCTTCAGTTGAGCCCCTGGGACGTGCCCTGCCAAGCGTGGGTCCTTGGCTTCACACAGGAAAGAATTCAAGAGCGAGCCACAGTTGAGTAAAGGTAGGTTTATTCAGAGGGATACATTGAAAAGCAAGAGAAAGGCCACAAGGTGTGGGGGTTCGGTACTCAGATTAAAAGTGAGTACATACTCCATAGACAGAGTGAGGACCGTCTTTGAAGAGGGAGAGAGAGGGGCCGCCCCCGAGGTGCTGTGTTGCTGGTTTTTATGGGCTTGGTGGCTTCATATGCTAATAAGTAGAAGACCAGTCTAAGGGGAAGGGGCTGGGATTCCCGGGACGTTGGCCATTTCCCACCCTTTGAGCTTTTGTGGCTAGCCTTGGGACTGCTCTAGTGCCTGTGGGCGTGTTGCTCACCATGTTAACATATTACAATGGGCGTATAATGAAGCTCAAGATCTATTAAAAGTTAAATCTCTCATCATCCTGAGCCTCAAGCCTACTGGGGGGTTGAATCTTTCACCATTTTGATGTTAGTTGCTGTGGCATTCCTTGAGTGGCTGTGCACTGCCCCCTTCCGGTCTCATAAGGACCAGGTATCTAGGAGAGCAGCTTCATAAAGAAATTCCACTTTGCAGGCTATCACATGTGCTCTTAAAAACATTATTATATCACCAGTACTGTTACTGCAGTATGCCTAGATCACCCAAGGTCACCCTCTCCGGTTTTTTAGATAATACTTTTATTAAAGTAATACAAGTGTGCAGTAAGCAAAACAAGATAAATAAAAAGCACAGCAGAATTAATCGTGGAAACAACATCCTCCCACTCTAGCCTCCCTCTTCCCAGACCTGTTCCTTGAGCTGCTTCTTTGAGGCAACCTCTTTTAATCTTATTTGGAAAGGGAGGTAATTACTTATTTAAATAAATGGAGGTACTGGGGATTGAACCCAGGACCTTCTGCATGCTAAGCACACATTCTACCACTAAGCTATACTCTCCCCAAGTCCATTAACTCTGTAATTTCTGTCTCATCTTCCTCCTTTTCTTTTCCTCCTATCCTTCCATCTTCCATCTTGTGTCACACCAGCTATATTTTTACATTTACGTTACTATAATTCTATACGATAATAACCATCATCCTTCATGCATAAGGCAGGGATTCTCAACTGTGGCACTGCTGACATCTGGGGCTGGGTAAGTCTTGACTGTGGGGGCTCACCTCTGCGTTACAGGTGGATTAGCATTATCTCTGGCCTCTGTCCTCTAGATGACGTTCAGAGTAGCTCCAGATAGTCCACATATCTCCTGGGAGAGGGGAGTAAAATTACTCCCAACCTCAGTTGAATCAAAGGTAGATTCAAAAGTTGAAAACTAATGTTGCTGGAAAATTTCTAAAATGACCCCCAAATTCCCTGCCCTGGTATACACACACCTTATCCCAAACACAAATCTAGGGGTTGCAGCAAAAATTTTTAGTGATGAAATTAAGGTCACAAATCAATTGATCTCTGGATAGGGAGAGTATCTGGGTGGGAATGACTTCACCACAGATCCCTGTAATTCTGGGTCTAGAGGTCAGAGACAGAGTAGTCAGAGAGATTCAAAACAGGAGAAGGATTCAAGATGCCATGGCTGGCTTTGCAGATAAGAAGGGCCAAGTCCCACGGAATGTGGGTGGCCTGTAGTTGTTGAGACGGGCCCCCAGCTGACAGACAGCAAGGAAACAGGGACCACAGCCCCACAACTACGAGGAACTGCATTTGGCCAGAACAAGAATGAGCTTGCAGTGGATTTTCCCACGGAGCCTCCAGAGGGAATGCAGTCTCACCAATACCTTGATTTCAGCCTTCTGAGATCGTAAGCAGAGAACCCTGTCATGCCACATCTGGATTTCTGACTTACAGACTGTGAGGTAAGAAACGGGTGTTGTTTTAAGTGATTAGGTTTATGGTTCTTTGTTATGCAGCAATAGAAAATTTACACAATCAGTAAACAATGCTTTCACCATCCTGACTATGTAAGCATGGGTCTCTGCTGGGCCAACTAGTGTGCTAAAGTTTAATCCCCTTCTCTAACAATGAACTGTGTGAAATTCACCTTTCAGGCAACTTGAGCCTGATGAAACATGACTACTTCCTACATTATTTGTGTGGTTTAGATATTTTACTTCTTTCCTAGGTGTGGCCAGGCCTCCCTGTGACCTATATATTTTTCTATTATCCATGAACAAACAGAACTATGACTTAAGTTTCACAATGTATATAACTGATTTGATGCTCTTTTGACAACTGTAGCAATTTTCTTCTTTTTTTTTTTAGTGGTTACAAAATCATGCTTTCCCTGTGGTAAACTTAAGAGACCTCCAGGTTCGTCCCATCCTACCCACTATGCTGGGGTGATGCTTTTCCTTAAAATTCACTGCCAGAGAATTCGACCAATTGGCATATTGTAGTCTCTCCATCTTGTTACCATTCTACCCCTAAAAAATCTCCTTCATCCAGGGTTTAGCATATAGTAGGCACTCAATAAATAATTACTGTTAAAACATATGTAGGCAACTGGTCCCTCATTTGGCCAAT